TTTTGTATTTTTGTAAAGCCGGCTGTAAAACCATTCCATTTGATTGTATGTTTGTTAATATGAGATATGTAATATGCAAAGTTCAGATGAAGAACTCATTGATTTCAGTATTATACACACCTTTTAGGTGTGTAAGGAGGGACTGTTAGAAATTAAAATCAATGTTTTAATGGGGAAATGTAGTTTAAACATGCCGTCAGTTTTAATGCTCTTTTATACTGAAAAAACAGAAATTCTTGTGCACAAGCAGTTAAGCTTTTATTCTGAAAATCCTTCATCTACGGTTAGCATTTAGCATGTGGCTAATATACGATTTCCTAAAGAGTTGAATTTAGTAGGGAAATGACATGGAGTGGTGCAAACCGAAACCTACTGATTTAACACTACAACTATAGATGTCGAGATACTACCATGCTGAATATTAAATGAAGGTACAGTTTATTTGAATACATTATTTTTTACAGACGAGAGTAGCATGTGACAACATCCGGAATGACCGGAAACCAAACCAGCCGAGAAGTATTTTTTAGAGTATTGATTACAGCGTTTAGAATGTGTTACATGAAAAGTGATGAAAGAGAATATGAGGAGAAAAGGCGTGTTAAGCATATATTGAATGTGAAAAGAATCAATCCTCTGTTTAAATGCAACAACGGACATTGGAGACGAGGCGAGCCGGCTGGCGGGGAGGAGCCAGCAGAGGATAACAGCACCGGAGGAGAGATCCTCCTCTTCTCTTCCCTAACGAGGAGCGGATCACAGCTGTTTGTCTGACGGAACAATATCATGCTTGTGACCAACCCGCGCCTTTTTTAATTAAAGTACCCAATTGAACTTTCACAGAGACTCCATTTAGTCTCCTTTTAAAGCTTCTCTCCTGGACGGGAGAATNACTCCGATGATGGATCAGCTGTGATTTGATGGTTGTTCTACAGGGCTTGCTACACAACCAGTTAGGATTGCCTGGTTGGGTATTTCATGACTGTGGCTTGGAACTGCTTTTGAATGTTAGTAGGCATTTTATTATGGAAAATGTTGTGCATAATCAGTTCTGTTTTAAGCTTAACTATATCAACAAATTTGAATAGATTGAGTTTTTTTTAAATATGGGAGTTGTGTGTTCATATTTACCAACACCACAGACTATTCGTAATACTTGTTTTTGGGATGTTATTATTTTTTGTAGATTTGTTGAGTACGTGTTTCCCCATATTTCGGAGCAGTAGTAAAGGTAAGGGAGAAATAGACTTTTATAAAGAGTATTTTTTCTTCAATAATGTTCTTAGTATGATACAAAGTACCTGTTGTATTTAGTCTGTACATAATTTATGATGCTGCTTCCAATTGAGTTTTTCGTCAACAAGCAGTCCTAAAAATGTACATGCACCAACCTTTTCTATCTCGGTATTGCAAACCCGTATAATGCAGTCATTTCTACTCTCAGACTTTGTATTGAATAACATGTAATTTGTTTTGGCCACATTAAGGGATAATTTATTAACTGCAAACCAGTTACATAGTATTTCTAATTCTGCATTCACAATTTTAACAAGATCGCCAAGATTATGATGGGAGCAGAGAATTCAAAGTTCAGGTTCAGCCTAAATATATTTGGGGAGAATTAAAATGAGCCGTCTTTATTTGTAGACAGCCAAGCCCCCTCCTGTGTTCGGTGAAGCATTATATGTTTACAAATCCAATGTAGGATATAAACACAACTAAACTGCAATGATAGCAAAGCTGTGGCTTGTGTTTTTGGGGTAATAAAGTCCAAATCATCGTTGGGTTGTCAGCCAATGAGTGACGTCTGAGGAAGATGAGAAATCTAAATTAAACATTGTTAAGAAAATGCTGCATCTCTTGCATTTATTGACATAGATTAGCCTTATTGTTTTTAATATCATTTTTTGTAATTTGCAATTACTTGGTTTTTGTGAAATTAGCCTGTATTCTTATTAAAGTGTAACAGATTGATGTAAGGCTTCGGAATCCCCCCCCATTGTAGTTAAAAAACTGTAAAAACTAGGGCCCCCAAACAGCATCTTGCCCCAAAAAAAGCTAGAAACGGCCCTGCCCACAGTACAGTACATAACCACAGAAACAGAATATAAAAGAAAATTAAATCAAATAAGAAGAATAGTATTTTTGGGCACAAGTAACGTCACCCGGACACAAGGACCTGGGGACTTGCCACGGGCTTCTGGGAGGGGCATTCTGTGAGAAAGAAAGAGGAAGCGAGAGAGAGAGAGAGAAGCAAAGGAGCAAATGAGATCACTCAATACAGAAGAAACATGACAGTGACACTAAATGCATGACCTTCATATTTGCCCTGAAGCAGAGAAAAAGACACTCACCTTTTATTGCGAGGGTGGCTTTGAGATATTCCATAGATTTGTCCTTGTATTCCAGCACTAGTTTAAGATGTTCTTGATCCAGCTTCCTCCCCGTAGGGCTGTTCCGCACTTTTCCCCAGTCCTCATTGGTCTACAAACAAAAGACAATATCAATAAACAGTTGTCAGTGCCCGCAGGTGATCAACTATTAGGTTCAGCAAACACAAAGCTGTTTGTTCCCAGCAATTTTACTATAACTTCTCACCATGTCTTTGAAGGCCTCCCCTTCGTAGTATGTCTTGGATCCTGGATAGCTTATTCCCTCTTCATCTAGCTGCTTCGGGCTTGAAGCCACCAAATGTAGCTCCTCTCCATCGTAGGCATACAGCTTTTCATCCTCACAGATCATTAGAACGAGCTGGTCCCATGGGCAGGAGGTCCCCTCCACTACACCTACAACCTGCATGCTTACTTTCTTAGGAAGATAGAATTTCCCCCATCCATTCACTACCTTAGGCTCCTCACTGTAAATGGTGTCTTCCAGGAGTCCTACCTTCAATGTGGCGACAGCTGTTTTTTTTAAGTCAAATGTCTTGTGTCTCTCTTTGGACACACAATCTAAAACCTCTTTCAGGTAATCTGGACCTGCAACACATGCCGAACAAAAGTTACACCACGGTTTTTATGATATGTGAGGCAAAAAGAGTGTAGTCTAATCAACTACACAACCATTTCTCTTTAGTTCTATCTTAGCTTACCTGTTTTCTCGTTTTTCTGTGGGAACCGCAGAACTGCTGGCCTGAATGGAAGAGAAGACAAAATAAATTTCCCAATGAATGACTGCAAGTTAATCAGTGAGCTCCAGTCATTTTCTCCCACATGTCTTTACATGGTTGTGATCCTAGGAGACTCTTGATTCAGCGACAGCTTCGGTACATGTTCAACAGCCATGAGGCTCAATGCCAGTGTGTCCTGAATTCCCGGAACCGCAGATATACTATGTGATCTATAAGGATGAGCCATACACCCTAAAGAGGGAACTCATTTTCGCCACTTGATTTCTCTGTTATCAAAATTAGAAAATGACGAACATTGATGACAAGCCACTTAGTCATCATGGTGTGAATCAACTACCTGCAGTCCTTCTAGTTTTATTACTTTTATAATCCATGATACGCCTGAATGTGGCTGCTACCAAAACCACACAAGCAGAATTTTTATTATTATTTATAACACAGCTTTGTATCCTCTAAATGACTCAGTCAATGTTGATCCTGTTGCTCTTCCTGTTATCCACAGTTCCCATCTTTATCCTGCTTCTTCTTGTCTCTCGTCAGTGTTCAATCCAGTGCGTCTTGTCTCTCCTCTTGAAGGTGTTCATGACGCAGTTAGTTTTGTGGTTCAGGTCTTATATGTGCATAGCAAAATTGCAAATCTTCTTTGAACCACATTCTTCACTCCAAACTCTCAAAGACACTTGAGGGTCTCTTAATGAAAAGGTGTAGAAGTCATTTTAAATTAAGGTTGTAAATAGGTTCTGGCATTTTCTTTTATAGACGCATTTTGCTTTTAATTGTGAAGTTGGAAGCATGTTGAAGTTGCTTTACATGTGACGTAGTGTAAATCTTGTAACTATTCCAAGATTGACTGAAACAAGATAACAGGAAAGACTGCGTACCACAGTAAGGTGTTGTCTGCCATTGTTGTTTTAACCCCCACGCCCCTTAACAGAAAATAAAACGTCTTACTTGCTCTCCGGACTGTCCTCCACCCTAGGTTTCTGTTACAAGGAACATAAAAATGCATTGTTAACAGTAATAAATAAAATAAAATAAAAAAACCTCTACTCATTATAACAATATGACAGAATTTTGACCTTTTTGAAAACAGTATGAAATACACTATATCAACTAAGAGCATCTAATCAATAAAAAAAAAATAATAATATAATAATAGCAATATTTAAACTTGCTCTTATTATAAAGGTTACATAGCATTACAAAATATTGGCTACTGAGCTAATGGTAGAATACAGCTTATCCAATATTGCATGTACATTTTGCAATACAAATGTGCAGTTTTATCATTTTAAGAGTAAGGTTAATTTTACAACATTTAACTAATTAATAAATGCTCTCTTTTTTCCCCCATCAAGTAGTGGTACTTACTTTATTGAGGGGGGGCATCTTTCTGTGTGAATCTGTGTACAGAAACGTAGTTAAATTCAAATGTGGAAGAAACAATTATTTGAAAATAAACACATCAAATCTGAGTTGTGAGATGAAGATTAAACAAAAAACTATTTTTAAATAAATAAGAAACAGCACTTTTTTATGAAATAAGGACAATTGAAATTTCCCCAGTTATTTTAATGAAAATATTTTTTGCATAATTTCAATGTTAATATTGACACATTTTAGCAATATTTCAATGCTAACATGTGTGTTTTAAATATAACTTTGAAGATATTGTTTCATAAAAACAAAAGTTGATCCCTCATATTTTGTTTTGAATGTATTGAACAACAATTTCACAGATATTGGAAAGTATCCCAAAATGTTTGAATAACACAGACAGACGGACAGACAGATGTTTCAATAAATAAAACACATAAGTCGAATCGTTTGGATTTTTACGAGAAATACTCGGTATGTATTGGTCCATATACGCATTATATACACCAGCAACCAGCAGGAAAACCTTCACCTTTCCTTTAAAGATAGACCAAGACTACACCCTTTTCTCTTTATTCACAGATCCTTTTTTTATTTGTGAAAATATTTTTGCGTATTTGCAGATCCGTTTTACATTTGCACATTCTTTTGTGAGTTTTCAAGTCTTTTGAATGCATTTGTGGAAGATGTTTTACTTTTTCAAATCACACGTTTACAAACAACTTCTTTTTATGTTAACACGAATATTATTGAGACAAATCTAACCCCATAATGCTCCTCCCAAACCTATTAACACATTTGGCGCGGTTCTATCTGAATATAATGTTAAGCAGCCTAAACATATGCGCAACACGCAAAAATAAAATAACACAGTAACTCTTGATGAACATATTCTACGTTAATGTTAGCCTACCTGTTTTACAAAGACACCTCAAACTGAAGTAAACTCAAACTGTGAGATAAATAATACAAACGAAAATAATAGTTATCCAAACAGTCGACGTAAGTTGTTGAGGTTTAGGATGGCAGCTTCTTCATACGCTGCACTCGGAGAGGAATAGTGGAGACAGAGACGATGAACTGTTTAGTCCTTGAGCCTGATTTATTCCTCTACTTCAAAGGTGATTCTACCATAGGCGATTGTAAACTGTGTTCGTCATTCTCCCGTCCAGGAGAGAAGCTTTAAAAGGAGACTAAATGGAGTCTCTGTGAAAGTTCAATTGGGTACTTTAATTAAAAAAGGCGCGGGTTGGTCACAAGCATGATATTGTTCAGTCAGACAAACAGCTGTGATCCGCCACCCGTTAGGGAAGGGAAGAGAAGAGTCCTGATTTTCTTCTTCTTCTTCTTCTTCTTCTTCTTCTTCTTCTCTTGCTTTTGGCGGATTGCAAACACAAGAGTCCCGATCCCTCGGTGCTGTTATATATCCTCTGCTGGCTCCTCCCCGCCAGCCGGCTCGCCTCGTCTCCAATGTCCGTTGTTGCATTTAAACAGAGGATTGATTCTTTTCACATTCAATATATGCTTAACACGCCTTTTCTCCTCATATTTTCTTTCATCACTTTTCATGCAACACATTCTAAACGCTGTAATCAATACTCTAAAAAATACTTCTCGGCTGGTTTNTATAATAATATATACATAATTGCATATAAACATTGTGAACACTTATTTTCAAGTTACTTTTTTTACATTCATATGTTAACGCTGTGATTTGGAACTGCTAAGCAGTTCCAAATCACAGCGTTAACATATGAATGTAAAAAAAGTAACTTGAAAATAAGTGTTCACAATGTTTATATGCAATTATGTATATATTATTATATGCATATATTATTATTATTATTCATTTGCCAAGTACATGTGTACATATGTATATATTTATATATAGTATTTTCATTTCCAAAAAAAGATAGTGCTATTGACATGTGCAGAAAATGACCCTATATCTAGTTTTCGTATATATATAGATATATATATCTATATATATATATGCATTTATTGTTTTCCTGCCCTAACTTTTATTAAATGTTTTCTCCTGTTTTCTTTATTTCTTTGTACTCCTTCATTTCTATACGTTTTTGACGCAATATTGCTGATGCTGTATTAGGATGATGTACGGGAGGGCTACTTTCCATAAGCTATGCTTCAGCCCTCCCGCTTCTACTAATTTTGTTCATCTTTGTGTGTATGAATTATACTTTTTTTGTTTTTTGGATGAAAAAAAAAAGTATTTTCAGCTTGGGGGCCCCCTAGTGGTCGCCGGGGCCCTATACATCTGCATAGTCTGCCTATACAGGAAGAAACAGCCCTGAATAAAACTATGAGTAAATCAGTACTTGTCTGTTTAGAAATAGTTGCAATATGCATGTCTAACTCTTACTTTTGACCTTTAAGTTTTAGTCGAACCAGGGTTTTTCTGTTTAATTCAGTGAACTCTTACCAAATAAGAAAACTGAAGCGTTCTTATGAAGCACAACTCAGATGTCCAAACATGTTGTAGATGACATAAAAACATTGACTGTTAAAAACAATAAAAGGAAATGTGCTACATGTCATGTGAAGTGTGTCAATAAAAGGTCATTTGAAAAAAAACAGCAACATCTTACAGTCAAACATTACTCAAATGTGTAAAGGTAATATCGTTTTTTTTATATTCAAAAATATTCAGAGATCTTTTAGCATTCAGAACACTTAGAATTACAAATGTGTTGAGTTAGAGTTTGATGACAGTACTGAGAAAGCTAATTATATATTGATCCTTTGAAGGATGACATTAAGTGTTTTCACTGCAATATGACATATAGAAAATGGGAAATATCTTCCCTCTTTCTGAGGTTTCATTCTTGTCTGCATGGAGGGGATTGACAGACTTCAAAGCAGAGCTTTCCGTCATGAAAGGAAGGGACTTAGAGCAAAAGACACCTGAGAGAGAATAAACACACACAAACACACACACACAACAGGGCACATAAGCAGACACAGCTCTTCCAGGTTTCCGTAAAATTGTGTTCAGATTTTGTCCATCTACTGTGCTTCATGATGCAGGAAGACAATACCTCATACACATGCATGCACGCACACAACACTACACCACACACATGCACATACACTCACGCAAAAACAGACACTATTACATTCACAAGCATGTTCACTCTGTGTCATCTCTGTGAGAAGTAAACCGGACACACTAAAGGAGTGCTTGACTGTTTCTTCACATCCTCGATAAGATTACACTAACTGAACCATGTTAACACACTCCACTTCTGCAGTCTAAACAGATGACATACACGGCACTAGCTCATACATGAAAACCAGACAGTTAAATAAAGTCCTGCATCAGGACCCACACTGATCATCTATCTACAGCACAAAGGAATGCAACCTGATCCATCCATTGTGTATTTTGGTTGTCAGTCTGCCATCATGGAGCCATTTTCTAATTTAGTGAAAGCAACACGTTTCTTCACAAAGAAAAGTTGTTGCTTTATAGCGAGAAAAACTATGCTAAATCTCTGACTTTTCTACCTAACAAGGACACACGGGGTCCAACACTTCTGCCTAAAAAAATGCATATGTAACGCTGCTAACAACCTGTGCTTGCTCATCACCTTCCAAAACATTCATCTGTCATCATTCCTGCTGTTGTGTAAATAAAGTGTGAATCCGGTGCATAGGTGTGTGCATATAATTGCGATCTCTGGTTCAAAATGTGCCCAAACAGTGTTTTACACAAACAAACATACACTAACACATCGTCCCTGTTAGAGCAACGTCCAGATGTCAGAGATCTGAGCCTATTAGAGGGTAAAGTGGAGGATGGATGATCTCATCCGCCGCCTTATCCAAAAAAAGAACAAACATGCAAACAACAGTAGGGCTGACGTGGTCTTACACACACAAAGCCCTCAATGTAATGACAGTGTTATTAGGTGAGCTGAGAGGCAGATCAAGACACTGCTCGGACTCCTTAAGTCCTCCTTAAAGGTCTTCAACTCAGGCTAAGGCCATTTACAATGTCTATAAATGCTCTGGAGCCGTGCTAGAGACCATCTTATCTTAGGGAATAGCCGTAACCTGAGTGGATTTTCTCACTTGATCCTATAAGGTCTTATCTGCTGTACCTGGAAGCAGCCCTGTGGCAGGTTGAAGGGCTCATCCAGGCTTAGATGTTCTGGTCCTGCCAAGCCCTACCCAATCGAAAAAGAACTCCTGTAATACTGTTAGCTACTTTTTCATAGGTGAATGTGAAAAAGTGAATCTATACCATTAACAAAAGTAAGAATGCACTGACATTAATTCTTTTGGGAATGAGCATTTTTAAGATTAAACTGGCGCCTGAATGCAACATTTGAAAACCCTCAAGCAGGAGCTCCTAAAACATGACACACATTACAGTAAACAATGGATCCGGTGAGACAAATAAAAGCTTTTTAAACACATGTCAATAATGGTTTAGGAATATTACCAAATGCTGACATGCTCTATTTGTTTTGCTCTTTTATTTCCCTACAAGGAATATCTTTTGTATAAAGTACAGACCATGCTTTTTTAAAGCACTAAAGTCTCAAACACACAAGTTGAGTTTTCCTGTAAGCTTAGTTGGATCCTTTTCACAATTTCCAGGTTGTTTACAAGTTTATCATGGATGTATAATACAACTTTATTTGCAGGTCTGCTCCAGTTTAGTTTATTTATTTCTTCCAATTAATATATCTGCAGCCTATGGTAGCAATCTTTAATTGTCAAATATGTATGCTTAACATAAACACATCTGGTGAAGTTTTTTAATGTATGGGAATATAATGCTTGTACTTCTCAATCTCTTTTGCAAGCTCATTTCAAACACAGTCATTCACACACAGTCAGCAACCCCCCACCATTGCTTTATTGTCAATGTTTTTAATTTGAGATAATAGCTTCAAAGGATAATGCAGCCTTGCCGTTCGACCGTTTTTAAGAACAGACCCTAGTAGAAGAACACATGTTGAATGTGTTCAAAGGTTGCGGCTAACATTCACTGGCAACGGCGGCAACTAGATACCCTCAAGTGGAGGCTTGGAGGCTGGGCGTCCCTCAGGGGGTATACCTTGGATAAAAATGTAGCCCATTATTCGAGCTGAGAACAGGTGCTTTCAACAAAGAACGCTGCATCATTATGGTCCTGTGGGAAATGAGGGAAAATATCAAGATCCAGGAATTTATGATGTGGCCTTTTGAAAGCAAAACACATCAGATGCTGAGGTTGGGAGTCGACCTAGAAGCCATTTAAATAATAAAGATTAAAAAACAAAGAATGCTTCTTTAACGTTAAGCAGGAATGGAAGACATTTTCTTGAACAGCTCACATCAAGTTTATTGGACAAACGTCAACATTTAAAAAAGTAATTTTAAATCTGCTTTAAACATTATTGTAACTATCATGACTGGAGGGCACATAAACACATAAACATCTTGCAATTGTTTTATATTTCAATAACTAATCCAAATGTTATGAATACAAGCAAATGTTACTAACAGAATGCTCTCCAAACCCTCTTAATCATCTCATCCACTTTACTTTATGAAATGTTATTTAGCAGGAAATAAAACAAACATAGCCTAACATGCTGAAGTATGATACATAAACCATTTACTTTTGAGTCTTAATTATTTTATATTTACTCTCATTCGGTATTTATTGTTCAGTGGGGAGGCTGTGAATGTCAGCAAATACTCTGGGGTCACAAGAAAGCATATCTGTGGCCAAGAAAAATGTCTAAAGAAGTTCCAACTGGGTGGAGGTCCTCTAAAGACGTGTTAGGCTCCACGTGTCCACCACCTCTCCTTCCCTTTGCTTTTGTTTCAACATTCCTGGCATGCTTCTTCTCTCATTTCCCTTTAATTTCACTCATCGGGTTCTTACAAGTCTCGCTTCCTTGCTCAAAAATCTTGAGCATCTCTTCGGCCAAGTTAGAAGAACCATTGGCTTTAAAGCTTCCTCACTCAGGATAACCAGCTACTCTGCCTCTTGCCACCCATGATGTGGATCAAGCTCTTCTCTCCAGCTCCATGCTCACTGTAGCCTTCATCCAGGGCCATGGCTCCTGTCAGGCCAGAGCAGGGTCTCTTTGATCTGGGCCGAGATGACAAGGCTGTGTGGTCCCAACGCCCCAGGCCTCCTCTGTCACCACAGGCAGAAATTGACAAGGTCACTCAGGGGAGGAAAGAGGGAACACACAGGAGCTCCAATCTACCTGTATGATTGGGTGAGGGGGGACATGTCCAAAAACTGCCAAGAGCCCCAAGCTGAGGCACAATTTGCTCCTAATGTTAAAGGAAAGGTTGATGTTTGGTACCAGCTTTAATTATTGTCAGATAAAAAACAAATAGTGCAGAGCCTTGCTTGAAGCAAAATGAACCTAAAGACCAAGTTCTCTGTGTGTACAGTTACATACCATAAGCTATAGAAACAGACGTGTTTACTGGTCTCCCTCCAGCGAAAATAGTTTGTACTGTGATTTAGGTTTACATTCAAATGGAGCCTATTTAGTATATTATGGTTCATTATATAATTGGAACCTTTTGATGTGGCATATTTTATTTATAGAAGTTATTTCAGTTGCGTTATTTTTTATGTCTGAAAGTGTTTCAGCACTGCAAGGGTATTGTTTGGTCTCTTATAAAGTCCATGTGGCCTGAGCACTTCCCCGTGCACAATAAATAACATAAGATAATTAACTATAGCTTTACTGAACTGCAGACGTGCATGTAGTGGATGTGGTTTGTAATTCCTTGTGAACAGTAAATAACCTGTGGAGCCAAATAAAATCACCGCCCTGATCGAAGAGTAACTAACTCAAGACATTTCCAGGAAGCCCACTAAAATAAATCGTTCAAATACACATGCTGGTTGTCTGAACCACACTCATAAAAAATGTACAGCCATTTTTCAGCCGTCCATTTGTATTTTCAAACAGTCACGCAGTTGTCATATCCCCTTGCTTTATTTTCAGGGGAAATCTGAAGGCTGAAATGAAGTAAAGCTGGTCTGTGGGCAAGCAGTCAACCCCCTGAGGAGGAGACAAGAAAAACATGATAAGAGGCTGTTGGTTAAATTACAGACTACAGGCAGCTCTTAATGGAGTTCAGCGCAGGGTTGAGGGAAGTAAGGTCAGTCAGTCATCGAAGCTACACTGCCCTTGATGCTTCCTACATTCCTGAACACCAATGTCAACAGGAAAAGAGGTCGATTATTACATTAAGTTCAACCTTTTAAACACAAATTCTGAGAGGAAAATTTTAGTTGTACTTTGTGTCCACAAAGAACGCTCATTTGAATATACTGATTCCACATGAAAAAGCTATCTGAAGCCAACACAAACAGTGCATTGACTTTTATAAAGTCTCCCTGCAGGACTAACCACGCTCATTAGCATTGGATAAACACACTGCTGCACTTGAAACATGTTTAGTGGATGCATATTTCACAAGGGTTGTGACAGTTCATTGAAAATTCAACCTCCTCCCGATTTACAGCGCATACTACAGCAAGGGTGGGCAAACACCACAAACCACACGCACCACCTTTGGTATACATACTTTCCTTTGGTCATGATCAAGACTTTGCCAAATATACACACACAGTTCTTTACTCAGGGATTCAGAGCTCTCTGAATATTTGATTTATGGACCCTTCAGCGTTCAGTTTGGCAGAGCCATTCTTGACCCCGAGCCTCTAAAGCTTTAGGTTAGAACAAGTGTTTTGGGATCCAACGCTCTAATTCAGCTTTCTTTTCTGTTTAACTTTTACTTTCCCATGGTCCATGAGCAATCAGCTGTAATATCCTGCCTTAAATATCTCTATCACAAGTGGCTGCCAACATAGGGAGGAGTTGGCTTGTCTCTAGGGTTGCTCGCCTCACATCATAAATCCTGGACCCTCCGAGCTCAATCTGTATTTCAGATCCATGAAATGCCAAGGCTACCTCAAGGCCTTATTTTCCACAAGTGTTGGCTTCATATAAAATGTGCGTGTGTGTGTGTGTGTGTGTGTGTGTGTGTGTGTGTGTGTGTGTGTGTGTGTGTGTGTGTGTGTGTGTGTGTGTGTGTGTGTGTGTGTGTGTATTAACAGGTGTAAATAATGTGAGTACTTTATAATACTACAAATATTGGTATTTTCAAAGATTCTAACCAACATGTACAAATATTAAAGGATTGTTTAGTATCATCCAATAAAGAGTATCACAATTAAATGCTAAAAAACACGACACAACAAGACATAACAAAAACAGTGCCCGTTCCTTGGTGGAATTTAAACACATACAAAATATATACAAAAATAAATGCAAACAGCAAAAAAAATAAAAATAATACTTATTATTATAATGAATGATCAATCACACACAACGGATCATTCATGACTACATTCATGGTCCCACTGTTTCAACTTGTGTTTAAAATGATCCGTTTGTACTGTAAGCTCAAACAGAAAGGCCACTTTTCCCATCTGTTCTTTATTCATGGTCTCTATAAAGGAAAAACTATAATGTATTATTTGCTTGCACGTATGTGCTTGCTCTGTCTCTGAGCACAAATATATTCACAATACACTGCAGCTGGAGCTCACCACACCCAAACAAGCAGTTACTGAGTTGGTAATGTATCTTTGAATCCTGTGATGAAAGGTGTGCTGTGAAAGGTAACACCTTGATTGCTGATGTGAAAGCACCATTTTCTCCACGAGTTATCTTTTTAGAATGAAGATCAAACCCCCATCTTCTACTGAGGCCAGAATAAGAAGCATTTTCCTGTTAAATGAAATCTCTTTCTAGATGTTGTGCTGAGTGTCCAACATGCCACCAGTGATAAGTGCTCAGCTCGTGTCTCTCTACTCAGGGCCGACAAACAGCAGACCGGCATTTACCTTCTAAAAAGTGCTTGTGATAACCATCATTTTCTGTCATTTGATGCATTTTAAAACAGCCCCTGTAGTTCAGACCTGTAATATCCTTCCCCCTCAGATGTCACTGCGTTTTCATTAGGCCTGGCGCTGGGGTTTGCTGGGTCTCATTATGTCCTTGGATAACCCTTTAAAAACACACCACAAAGTCTGGCCTCTGCGCTCAGGCTTACCTGAAAGGACTGACGGTAATGGTGAGCTTTGCTTCTCCACACCCAGTCTGCAAGGGAGAAAAGCTTCAAAGAAAAAGGTGCATCTCTGCTTTTTGCAAGTAGTTTGACTCCAATTGTAATATCAGTGATTGATCCTTGATTATTTTAGATAGGCAATCAATATAAAAGTACATTTCTGTGGATGAAATGTGAGTTAAAGACAGAGGGTGTATGATTCACAACGCCTGCCTGCTGCCTGGCACACACCTCCTTGATGAATATGTCAAACTTTTCTTTAATGACAGACCAAAGGCTTTTAGTGACCCACCCCTCACACCCAGACTGATTGATCTTGGTAATGTGATGCCATGTGTCTATAGATAAAAACAGAAGCATGATGTACGTGGCGATTCCCTCCAATCCAACGCTCTGTTGACTGGGCAGCTTTTAACATGAGCACATAACATGCCATTAGGGTCCATCCTTGTACTCAGCCTTTGTTTTTTTCTTCTAGAAAAGCCAACAATTGAAGCTTCAACATTTTGTTTATGGCAAGAGCTAACCCATCTAATGAGTGCATGCAAAGGTCAGGGCTGAGATTTAACTAAGTTCACTTACTAAGTACTGACTTAAGCACCAATTAGAGGCACTCTAACTTTACTTTTTTTATATTTAATTTAAATTGTATACAACAATGTACTTCTACCCCACTACATCTAAGTGGGAAATCTTTCGTATATTAGTCGATTAATTTGATCATACCCTGCCAGTTCAGTAAAACAAATATGTATCTCTAACTTTGTGAACAAATGGGTTGAGAATACTCTCTGACTTCTTAAGATACATACATTATTTAAAGCCCCTCTTGGAGCAGCTGAAAAAATACTTTCTCTAAAAGTCGAAAAAAGGGCTGTTTTTCTGAGCTGTTGACTCAGTGGTTCTCACAGAACCGAGACGCTCCAAACACATAATGATTATTATCGAATCTGATAATATGAAGCATTGTTGGAGAGTAAACTACTCATGAGTAAATAAAGGGGTTAAAAAAGCACAACCTTAAACATTTTCAGCAGTAAATTACAACATATACATGCAGAAGTGATGTTGATCCAAACAGAATAATATAAACACTGACAAGGAACATTTTATTGCAAAAGGAATTATTTAGATGTATATCATTTGAGCACATTTTGCTGATAATGTTGTAAGGTTTTGAATGAAGGACTTTTCCTGTTATTGTAATATAGTACATTCACTTAGGCTAAAATATCTGAATAAGTTTTTGACCACTATCAAAGTGCAGCCCACATATCAGTAGCAGGAATGGGTCATCAGGTGGAGAGGTTATGACCTAAGAGAAGGCGCTGAACTGGGAGCCAATTAGTCCCCAGCTGCCCCAGACTGAGAGGAAGAACCTTCAGTCATCCCACCTACACAGAGAATCAGCAGGAGTGCAGATGAATAATGATATTTAGAGGTTGAAATCCACCTCTGAGTTTTCTTATGGATTGACTTCATGGTCTTTATGGCGTCCCTTGCTCACTCATGTTCATTGTTGAGGGATTACCGGTGAGAGAGTTTCTGAAACAGGTCAGCGGATGTGAAGTATCAACCAGGCTGATTTAGAAGTGTCCAGAGACACTATAGAAAAGTACGTTTTGGGGGTTGGGGTTAGAGTTGAGAAGACCCCTGGAGATGCTTTTAGAAATGCTCCCTGCTTGGACGGGGGGCAGGGTAGGTGTCTGGACTGGGACTAACCAGTTTGTCTGAGTGGGGACTAATGAAAACAAATGATCTGACAAGGTCAAAAGGTTGAGATCAAGGCTGAAGGATCCTCCACCCCTCTCAATTTTCCAACTTGGGAGATTAATGAAGGCAGAGAACAGCCATTTCTCTATATCATTTATTCCCTGAGGCCTTGGGACCCTGGTGGTGGTGTGCAGCCCACCTGTTGGCCCATTAAGCCCTAATGACACCAGCCACAGGGCATCCGTCCAGATCCGGGCCCGTAACGGCCCGTGTTCATGGTACAGACAGGCTTCCAGCAGCCAGCCATCGAATTATCTTGGGTCAATTTTTATTCAACATTGGAAACACAAGATGGCTGCATTTAAATTACCAGTAGGATATAGTATATCCCCTCACTCAATATTCAATTTGGAAATTAATTGCTCAGTGATTATTCTTTCAAAATGCTTTTAAAACACTTCTTATAGCCTTCATGATGTGACTAATAAACACACTTTGAATTTCCCAATTGTTGAAAATACAAACATACACATATAATACAAGTGTTTAATACTATGGCATGCCATTTGTGTTTGAAAACAGAAAAACAAATGCCAAATATCCTGAGTAAAAAGCTCATTCATGGTGCTTCAAGCAATGGTGCTGAATACGTTAAGTAGTTTAGAAGAAGACACTGCTCCCTTCTGGACAGTTAGAGCAGTACCCACGAATATATAAAAACAAAGTCAGGAATTTCCATGAAAAGATAATGCCCATTTCATACTTCAATAAATCTGCATAAATAAAAAATGTTATGGGAAAAGAAAACACATTGTGTATTGAATGTAGCTACACTAATAGCTGGACTTACTGGACTTGTATTGCTGGAATACACTGTAATACATTTTACTCATCAAAAACGACTATTATGTCTAATGAAGTAATAGTTAATTGGAATAAAAACGATTTCATATTATTTTAATTGAAGCTAAATGAAGACTATCAAGAAAGAATAATGGCTTATAAACATAAAAAGAAAACGGAACAAAACCACTAGAAAAAAAAGAGCCACTGTTCTAAGCATGCTTAGCCTACTAGCAAAGGTTACTGCGCATGCTCAGTACCTGGTGCTCAGGTGGATTGACGCGGATACAGAAACTATAGGTTACTTACGTAACCCCAGTTCTCAGAGTAACATGAAGTGAGATGTCTCACTATGGGATGCGCCTCAACGCGTATGCAAACAGAAGCATCAATCTCATTACGCCAATCCTAATTGGCTGGTGATCTTGACGTCTACGTCAGGGAATCCACCCACCCTATAAGTAGCTTGCGCTACGACGCAGCGTCATTCAAAATAAGCACCTCTTCTCGCTTCGCCTTAGCAAGAAGGGCCGTCTGGTGAGACATCTCACTTCATGTTACTCTGAGAACTGGGGTTACGTAAGTAACCTATAGTTCTCATTCATAACTCTCCGTTCGATGTCTCACTATGGGATATTGAAACTCCCGTATTGCTAGACATGCTTATCTCGAAAATCACCAAAACAACCAGAACTTAACAGGTAGAACCCTGTCTCAACACGGGGCCCAGCATTGCGCGGGCCACACTTGGAGCAGAGACATCTAGCCTGTAAAAGCGGACAAAAGCCCGATGGTGCCTGCAAACCCTGACTCGTATAAGCCAGAGCAATCGCTTCCACAATCCAGTGGGAGAGCCGTTGCATGGTAACGGGCTTGCCCTTCTGAGGGTTAGCCCACGATATAAAGAGTTGGTCATTGCAACGAAACTCTTTTGACCTGTCCATATAGGTGCGTAAAGCACGAACTGGACACAGCAAATTCGGCCGCTGTTCCTCAGAGGAACACAGTGCGGAGAAATGCCACAATGTCAAGGGGGGACACGGAGCCAAACAACCTTAGGTATAAAGCAGGGTTGGGCGTAGAGCAACACTCTCTTTTGCCCCGGGCAAACTGAGTGCATGAAGGAGGATGTACAGAGAGCGCATGAATGTCAACTGACTCGCTTGCAGGATGCCAGAGCCAGTAACATCCACGGTACTTCAGTGACAGGTGTTTCATGTCAGCTTCTTCCAGGGGTTTCAAATGGGAGGTCGAGTGAGCCCATCTAAAACCACTGTCAAGATGCCCATAAGGCACCAGTTGACCTGGGAAACAGGAGGGAGCCTGCGAGCCCCGTTCATAAAACGGCAGACCAAAGGATGTTTGGCTAGCCGTCTTTCCCGCAAGCCCACAGGCATGCAGCATAGCAGCCAGTACACTTTGATCGTTAGAGAAAGCTCTGTGTTTATCCAATTAGGTCCTGTTTAGAAATGATAAAAATCACCCGACAGGACATTGAAAGAGATGTGTCCTTTTTGAAGGCACCACTCCTCCAAACCACCCTCCCACTTACAGTCCATAGAGAGGACCATGGTGGAGGAAGCTCTTGCACTACTGGAATATAGTGTTTATCACCTCTGGAGGGAGCCCCACTGTATTCAGATTGTACAACTCACGGGGCCAGGCCCAATAGGCCAAGCGCTCTGGGTGTGACTGAAAGGATCGTCCCCCCCGCCTGAGACAGTATGTCCCTGCGTAGTGGGAGCTGCCACGGCTGCCCCCACAGC